GCGGGAGTTTTAAGCCACCGGGTCCGGGACGCGAACCGCGGTTGACTACGTGGGAGTCCAGTAACATAGCCATTACGCTAACTGCTGGTCCCTAAACCAAAGCAATTTCTAATGATCTGTTAACTTCAAACGTCTAACACTGTCCAGGAAAAAATAAATAAATAAATAAATAAAATTGAAAAAATAAAATACACATACACCTTCACATGACCAACTTTAGAAATGTAACTACATATGCTTTAAAAAAATTTTATAAAACTATCTTATAATCTTTGATAAGTAGTAATTTTCTTGTGATTGGTACACATTAGGTCATTTACCTTCTCTGAGTGATTAAGCATGTCTTGAGCCTCTTTTCTTTCTCCTTCCACTCTTTTTTTTTCTCTTTCCAGATTATGTTTGAGATGCTTTACCTCCTCTTGTAAAAAGATGTAATCAGAGCTACCAAATGAGAAAAGTTTAAATCCATCATTAATAAAAGAAGTCTTTTTGTTAAGATTTTTGAAAAATGTATTAAATTTCCTGCACAGAAAGAATTTCATCAGTATTTTGTTGGTAGCATACACAATATACAGTAATAAAAATGTTACTGTTAATTGGTTAACATCTAGTGAGTAATATATTCCTTACTTTATAAGTGGTTAAAAGAAGAAAAAGATGAAGGTCACATGATATATGATGCCATTTATATAAAATATCCAGAACAGTTAAATTTGGAGACAGAAAGAAATTTGGTGGTTGCAAGAAGCTAGGGTGAAGAAGCAAACAGGAAAAAACAGTTTAACAGGTATAGGGTTTTCTTTGGAAAATGTTTTGGATCTTGTAGAGAAGGTAGTACAACATTTTTAATATACTAAAGATTATAGAATAGCATACTTTTAAAAAATCTACTATAGGGCATGTGCACTCACTGGAGACAGAGAAAGACAGGGTGAGAGAGAGAGAAAGCACTGTGGATGGCCACTTCACAATCCTTTCTCCATTCTACTCTCGAGATTTGAGGCATGCATGCCTGTATGTCTCACATGTTCCTCAAGCCAACAGGTCCAGGACTCAAATCACTCAGCCGCCTGAACCACAACAGCACACACTGGCACTTGAATAGTATACTTTGAAATGGTTAGTTTTTTGTTATATGAATTTTATCTCAGTTTAAAAGATACAGAGAAGCAAAAACTGTTAGAAATACAAAAAGGGCTATTAAAAAAAAAAGGCCACAATCAGTGGGAACCCTTAAAACATAAGTTTCAAAATTTGGCAGATTAATGAAACAAAGAATAAATACATTCTTAGAAAATTGATAAATTAGGGACCAGCAGGTGGCACGGTGGTTAAGGCACTGGATTCCCACTTTGCTAACCATGGTTTGAGTCCCAGACCTAGCAGGTTGCTTTCTTGCTTTCTCTCTCTCTTTCTCTCTCTCTCTCTGGTGAGTACACATGTACTATAGCAGATTTTAAAAAATAAATAAAATAAATAATTTTTAAAAAAGAAAACTGATGAATGAGATTAGAAAATTGAGATGTTAAATACAAAAGCTAATAATTTTCAAATATTTATGTAATACTTAAAAACAAGCCAAAATTGCATTACAAACTAAGCCAGGGGAAAAAAAAAAATTAACAAAAATCCAAAAGGGCCAACCCCCAGACTAGTGTGTAAAGGAGCAGGATCCATCCTGGTTAAAGGAGCCAGATCTCAAATGGCCAACTGTAGTTTGAATCACAGACCCTGAGGATTGAAAGGTGTGTGTGTGTGAGGGTGTGGGTGTGTGGATGTACATTTGCGCACATGCTCCATATCCTGATAGGATGGAGACATGAAAAAGAAGGGATTGCAACACAACCATATCAACTTGGAGGGCTTTCTCCCTCTTCCCCCCTCCTTTTTGTCTCTCTCTGGTAAGTGCATATGCCCCTTGGCAAATTTAAAACAACTGTTTGTAAGCTGGCTTTTGTCTTGCAAGCTCCAGTTCAAAACTTAGTCAAACACAGACCATTACAAGGTGATAGGAATTTCAGAACGGAAGGATTTATAGAGGCAATTTATTGTTTTCTATTCTCCTTGGTTTACAAATAAAGACTAGAGGTGAAGAGACTTTCACATAGTTAATAAGCTGTATAAAAGGGCCTAGAAAAACAATTTAAGGAAGTCACATATGAGGCTTTCCCAATCCATATAAAGAGGTCACTTTCATGGTTATACTCAGATCTATTTTAAGCCTGGTCCCTGAGAGATAAGATTGCACAACACTCTTCAGCTAAGAACCAATGGGAAATCCTAATTTCCGTTTCCACAGTCACTAAAATTGACTCTGACCTCTTTCCTCACAATTATAGCTAATCATCAAGCCCCATGAGACCCCAAACTATGTTCCCATCAGTGACAAAGGTTAAAATGAATCATCCCAATCCCAAATTTTTCCTCAGAGATCTGGAAACTTCCATGCATATCTGTTTTTACTAGATAGGTATTGTGGAAGCTGCTGTTGATAGGAACAGAAAAATATGTTAGAAGTAGGAAAAGCCAGGCATCTTTCTGAAAATTGAATTTTATTATAATTTAAAAATTGTTCATTTATTTACTCTTAATTATACTTAGTCTTCTGCCTTTTAGACTCATGAAGACTGTTCATCTCTGTGGTTCTTTCTTTTTTCAAAATAGAGATTTTTGCTATAGAGCGCGTGCGCTTGCCAGAGAGACAGAAAGCGAGAAATTATCTGGGGGAGGGGGAGCGTGTGGAGGGGGTTGCCAGAGAGACAGAAAGTGAGAAATTATCTGGGGGAGGGGGAGCATGTGGAGGGGGGTAGCCACATCACAATCTCTTCTTCTCCATTCTCCTCTTGGGATTTTGGGCATGCACACACACATGACTGCATGATTTTAAGCCTTTGGGTCTGGCACTCGAACTGCAGTAGACTACGTGTGAATCCAGCAACGTAACTATTTTGTCATCTGCTGGTCCTATCTAGTCCTAACTTTCTAAAGTAACTAATTCTTATTTATGAAATTCTATTACGCAACTGATTTTTGTATTTCTATCAACAACGTACAAGGAATTTTCAGTTTTTAATAGTTATGACACTCTTTTTTTTTTTTTCTTGGATTTGTTTCACTCTAAGAATTTTATGAATTAGGCAAGTTTTTAAAATAAATTTTCAGTTAATTTGGCTATAAAATTAAGAAATATCCATATTACCCACCTCATCACAGGATTGCCTGTGAGAATGAAGGAATTACAATGTGATACAAATATAGGCAGTATCTTGAAATTTCAGGAACACTAACCATTTCTGGTTTTACAAAAATAATTTAAGACACCAATATGATCAAAACTATATTACCATACATTCAAAAATGGTTAAGATGATGGCTATGTGGTTTTTACCATGACTCATAAAAAATAAATATTATCTTTCATTGACAGAAGAATGAATAAAATATGGTATACTCATATAATGAAGTAGTACTGTTAAGCCTTAAAAAGGAAAGAAATTCTGATACATGCTACAACACGTACACATTATGGAGACATTATGCAAAGGGAAATAAATCAAATACAAAAAGACAAACATTATACAACTCCATTAATATGAGGAACCAGGGGCCAGCAACTGCTGTGGTGGTTAAGGACACTGGACTCCAACAAGGCCGACCATGATTCAAGTCCAGATATGGTGGCTTGCTTTCTCATTTTCTCTCTCTCTCTCTTACTTACTTTCTCACTTTCTCCTCTCTCACTCTCTCCCCTCTTTGGTCAAATTAAAATAAATAAATAAGTTAATAAAAGTTAAATAATTCTTAAAAAAAAAAAAAAGGAACCAATATGTAGCTAGGTTCATGGACACAGAAAGTAGAATGGTAAGGTTACCTGAGGTTAGCAGGGGGAGGGAGAATGGAGAGTCAGTATCTAATTGACACAGAGTTTCTATTTGGAATGATGAAAAAGTTCTGGAGATGGACAGTAATGTTGCACAACAATGTTAATATATTTAATACCACCAAACTGCACACTTAAAAATGGTTAAAAATGTAAATTTTATGTTATATATACTTTACCACAATAAAAAACAGTATTACCTTGAAGGTCTCCAATCATCTCAGAATCGTGGCCTCTGTCTCTTCGTTCAGCTTCTAATGCAGTTTGCAGCTGGTAATACTCCTTGTCCGTTTGTGACTTAGAATTTTCCAAAATTCTATTTCTCTCCTGTAATTCCCTGTTCAGGGACTCAAGCTGACTAATTGACTTACTCATCTCTGTGTGACTTTTCCTTAGTCTTACAGCTGTGTCTGATTCTGTCCTAAGTAAGTCATTGGCTTCTTCTAGCTATTTAAAAAAGAGAAAGAAAATAGGTTTTTGACCAAAATATAACCAAACTTATTTAATTAACTATGTTTTTAGAAAAGGAATCTCATTTGAAAAATTTACCTGCTTTTGTAATTGGGCCAGCTTCTCATTGGCAAGTTGTGAATTTTGACTTACTTTCTTTAAGTCTTCCAACTGATCTTTTAATGTAGAAACTAGAAAATAAAAGGATAATATGTAAAAATTACAGTTTTTTTCTTTTTTTTTTTTTTTTTTTTAAGAGGAAACATAAAACTCCCTTTTAAAAACTGACATTTTGCCCTTTCCATCTGGCGGCAGCCATCAGAGCTATATGTTGGTGTTTAAAACATGATGTGTGGGGAACCAGCAGTTAGCGTAATGGCTATGTTGCTGGACTCCCATGTAGTTGACCACGGTTTGAGTTCCAGACCCAGTGGCTTAAACTCATGCCCGGCACGTCTGCTTGCATGCCCAAGATCCCAAGAAGAGAGTGGAGAAGGGACTGCAGCATGGCCATCCTCCCTGGGGGCTGATTTCTTGCTTTCTGTCTCTCTGTCTTTCTGGCAAGCGCATGCGCCCTACAGCAAAAACTTCTCTAAATAAATAAATAAATAATAAATAAATAAATAAAACTTTTGCCCAACCTGGGTAAGGTCTCAAGTGAAAGCAGGGAACGTAGTGTGGGTTTCTTTGATAGTCGAGTCCCGGGTTAGGGCTCAGTCAGAGCCATGTGGCATCCAACAAAACTTGAAGGCTGCTGACCCTGTACCCAGAACACTAGGGACCCCTCCATGATGTAGGTGGTATCGGATGCCAAGAGTAAAACCAGTAGTTAGGATAGCAGGGGCAGCAAAAGGCCAGCTGGTAAGAGTACCAGAAACTATTTGATTATAGGATCATTAAAATTTCTTTTTATTTTTCTACGATTTAATGTATACTTTAAAATTTATATTTCTTTTTTTTTTTTTTGCAGAGGTTTTTGTTTTGTTTTGTTTTTTTGCTATAGGGTGCGTGCGCTTGCCAGATAGACAGAGAGACAGAGAGATAGAAAGCGAGAAATCACCCTCCGGGGGGATGGCCATGCTGCAATCCCTTCTCCTCCACTCTCCTCTCAAGATCTTGGGCACGCACACACATGCGCCCGGCATGAGTTTTAAGCCACCGGGTCTGGGACGTGAACCACAGTCGACTACATGGGAGTCCAGCGACATAGCCATTACACTAAAGGCTGGTCCCAAAATTTATATTTCTTATAGATGTCTTAAAATGTATTAGCATGTTTTGTTTAAATGAAATTTTATTACATTAAGTCATAAAAAAGTTGCATGTGGGGTTGCATGAACTGTATTACATTTTAAATTCATCAAAAAATAGAGCATTTTATATTATAGAAAAAAAAACAGAGTTGTTTACTTCCCTAATCAACCTATAAGTGTAATGTTATAAGCCAGTTTTAGTATTATTTATTTTTAAATAGTACAATCACTTGAATAGTCCAATATTTTAAAAATGGTACAAAATTCAAAAGGTACCAAACAGTAGACAGTATAGAGTGATAGTTCTTCCCTCTTCATGGTCTGCTGGTCCCTATGTCTCCTTCCTAGCAACAGCTGTTACTAGCTCTTGCATATCCTTAAGATAGTCTATATACTGGGGCCAGCACATGGCATAGTGGGTAAGGTGCTGGACTCCCAAATGGCTGACCATGGTTCAAGTCGTGGACTTGGCAGCTTGAAAATCATGCTGGGTGTGTGTCTGTGCATGCTCCAAATCCCAAGAGGTGAATGGAGAAGAAAGAATTCTAGCATGGTCATCCCCCCAAAGAGGTTACTTCTCATTTTCTCTCTTTCTTGTCTCTCTGTCTCTATCTAGCAAGTATATAAGCCCTATGGCAAAAAAAAAAAAAAAAAAAGAAAAAGAAAAAAGTCTAATATATAAAAACATATATTAAAAAAGATACCTATATATACATATTACATATATATGTATATATTCACACATACACACACCTTTTCACCTGCTTACCTAGATATATACATATAATCATTGAATACATACATATGCAAAGTATCCTTTTTCTTTTGTAATTCTGCTATGAGTACATGTGCTTGCCAGAGACAGAGAGAGAGGTGAAGGCAGGAAAAATGAGAAAGTATTCCCCACCGGGGTGGGGGATGGCCGAGCCAAAATCTCTTTTCCTCTATTCTCCTTGTGGGACTTTGGGTGCATGCACACATGCACGCACACACACACACACACACACACCAACCTGGCATGTTTTCAAGCTGCAGGGCCTGGGACTTGAATGGCACAGTCAGCCATGTTGGGTTCAGTGGCCTGAACCACTACACCACTGGCTATCCCCTTCTCCATGCCCCTCATACCAAAGTACTCATGTTCCAAATACAATCTGTAGTTTGTTTCTGTCACTTAAAGATACATTCATTTCTCTTGCTTTTTTTTTTTTTTTAAATTTGTCAGAGGGCTTACATACTTGTGGGAGGCAGGGGCAGCAGATAGTTTAGTGGTTAAAGTGCTGGACTCCCACATAGATCACGTAGTTTGAGTCCCAAACCCGGTGGCTTGAAAGTCATGCCAAAGGCAAGTGTGGGTTTGCCCAAATTCCTGAAAGGAGAATGGAGGAAAAGGCGTTGCGGTGTGGCCATCCCCCTAGGGGGTCATTTCTCTTTCTCTATGTCTCTGGGGAGCAAATGTACTCTAAAGTAAAAATCTCTCTTAAGAAAAAAAGAGGGGGGATAGTGAAAAACATCCTCCATGGGACATGGTGACACTGCCATCCCTTCTCATCCATTTCTCCCTCCTTTTGGGATTTTGAGCATGCAAACACATGCACCTGGCGTGTTTCTTAAGCCACCAGCCCAAGACCCAAATCACACAGCCATGTGGGATCCAACTGCCTTAGCCACCACGTTGAGGCTGGCCTTAAAGATACATCTTAGAGGGAACCAGCAGTTAGCGTAATGGCTATGTTGCTGGACTCCCACGTAGTCGACCGCAGTTTGCGTCCCGGACCCGGTGGCTTAAAACTCACGCCGGGCACGTGTGCGTGCGTGCCCAAGATCCCGAGAGTAGAATGGAGGAGAAGGGATTGCGGCGTGACCATCCCCTCTGGGGGGTGATTTCTCGCTTTCTGTCTCTATGTCTTTCTCTGTCTGGCGAGCGCATGCGCCCTATAGCAAAAACCTCTCAAAAAAATACCAAAAAGATACATCTTAGAGATACAGCTTATAAGCAATATATATGAAAATGTTTTATTGGGACCAGCAGATGGCATAATGATTATGCTGCTGGACTCCCACATAATTGACTGTGCTGTGGTTCAAGTCCTGGACCCATTGGCTTAAAACTCACTACAGGAGTGTGGGTGTCCATGCCCAAAGTCCGAAAAGGAGAATAAAGGAGAAGGGACTGTGGCATAGCCATCCTGGCAGGGAGGTTGGGGGTGGGGGGTGGGGAGCCAAAATCCTGAGAGGAGAATAAAGGAGAAAGGATTGTGGCGTGCCATCCTCCTGGGGAGTGATTTCTCACTTTGTCTCTCTTGTCTTTCTGGTGAGCACAGGTGCCCTTTAGCAAAAATCTCTCCAAAAAAATAAAAAACTGTTACTTTTGTTATAGGCCAGCATTGCCTGACAGAGAAAGTACCAAAATTTATTAAATGGCTGATTATACTTACACTGTTAATTTTAAACAATGGTAATAGACAGCTGCCTTCTGTATGTATCAGTTTGCATGTACACAAGTATATATGCAAAATAAACTCCTAAAAGTGAAATTATAGGAATGAAGGGCATAGATAGTAATTTTCAATGTATTTGGGAAACTGGCATTAAAACACATGAAATTCTAGCTTAGCAACTCCCAACCTGGCTGTTGCTTTAAGCACCTTATGGGGCTTGCAAAAATTAGTGATTGCCAGGCCACACATTTAGACCAATTAAATTAGAATCTCTTGGGTTCAGGTATTAGTGTTTTTCTTTAAGTATTTATCTCTTTAGAGAAAAAAACAAGCAAAAGTGGGAGAGACAATGCCCCAAAAGGGTTTTGATTAGGTGATCCACCCACAACCCTTGTCACTCTGGATCATGGGTAAGCACACTCATACTCCGGGAGGTCTCTAGTTTGAACCAGAACCCTTCCATGCGAAATTGCCTCCTAGGGTGTAGCATTGTACCTTTGTGTCATTCTGGTCTCTAGGCATCAACAACCTTTAAAGCTTCCCAGGAGAATCCAATATACACACAATGATAATAATCACTATTATAGTTAAACACTACTTATTACAACTTTAATATGTTATAAATTTAACTTGGGATCTGGGTTATGTAGCTCTAGTGATGTCTTAAGAGTGTGACGTCATAAATAAATCACGGACACCAAATTTAAGACAACCTCATGATAAAGACCTCAGGATAACATTAGAAATTCCAACATTTTCAAAAGAATTGACAATTTACCTTCGTTTTCTACATTTCTCCTCTTCTCATTTTCCTGTTCAGCCTTTCTTTGGTACTCATTAATTCTATGCTGTAGCAACATTTTCTCCTTCTCAATTTGAGACACTGCAGATTCTAGATTTCTTCTCTGATTTCCCTGAAATCATAATGACAAAAGTTACCACTGCAAATAATACTCCTTGTCATTTAGTTGATGGGGTACTTTATTCAAAAAACAAAAACAAACCCACAATGTACAAGTGACCTAGTTTCTCCACATGCTTGCCAGTTTGGGTACTGACACAATTTACATTTTACTTGTTCTAATTGATATAGAATAATGTCTCATAGTAGTTTTAATCTGAATTTCCCAAGTGACTCTTGATGTGAACATATTTTCATGTGTTTATCATACATATGACCTCTCTGGTGACCATGTCTTTTACCAGTTTTGAAACTTATTTGTTTATTGTTGAGAATTCCTTAAATATTCTAGATAAAAGTGCTTTGTGAGATACATAGTTTGTAAATATTTTCCCTCAGCCTATAGCTTGCCATTTCTGCCCCTCATTGGGGTCTTCATAGAGCAAATTAAGTCCACCTTATTCGACATTCCTTATATAATCTTGTTTGTGGTGCTAAGTCTAAGAATTCCTTGCCAAATTGTAGGTCTCAAGGATTTTTCCTCTATTTTTTTTCCGTAAAGTTCTATATTAACATTTAAATCATTTAAATCTATGAACCATTTTAAGTGAATTTTTGTATAATGTCAGAATTACACTCAGATTCATACTCTGGACTATGGCTATCCAATAATCGCTCCAGCACTATGTTGACATGACTGTCCTTCTTTCAATGTATTACTGTTAAACCTTTGTCAAAAATCCTTGTCATATAAAACTACTTCTGTCTTTTCTATTCTCACTGATCTATTATTTACGCCATCCTTAGTATCATGCAGTTTTGATTACTGTACTTAAATGACTTTTCTGCATGAACTCTATCATTTGGACAAAACATCTAGATAGTTATTTCTTCTCTTCTGACCTGTGTGCTTTTTGTTTCCTTTTCTCGCCTATTGTTCTGGCTACAACTTCTAGAACTGGCTGAATAACAGTGGTAAGACTGGATAACCTTTATTTGTACTAGATTTTTAAGGGGAAAGTATTCACTCTCTCACTATTTAGTATGAGTTGTAGATTTTGTAAATACGTTCTTTGCTAAGTCGATCTTTCTAAGAGTTCTACCATGAATGAGTGATTGCCCAGTGCTCTTCTGCATCAATTGATATGATCTCTTGTTTCTTCTCCTTTGCCTATGAATATGGTGAATGACACTGTCTGGTTTTTAAGGGTTAAATTAGCCTTTTCTCTCTAGAATAAACCATAGTTAGGTATAGTATTGTTTTATATTTTGCTAAATTCTTTCCTTTTAAATAATTAATTTTATTTATTCATTCATTTTATTTTTAAATTTGACCAGAAAGACATACACACACACACAGAGAGAGAGAGAGAGAGACACGGAGGGCGGGAGGGAAAGTGAGAAAGCAAGCCACCAGGTCCGAGACTCGAACCGTGGTTAGCCATGTGGGAGTCCAGAGCCCTTATCCAACATGCCACCTGCCAGCCCCAATTTTGCTAAATTCTATTCTGTTTATATTTGGTTAAAGATTTTGTTTATGTTCTGAGGGGCATTATTGCTCTTTAGTTTTCTTTGTACTATAGTCTTTGATTTTGGTATCAGGGTAATACTAGTCTAGTCTGATAAAATGAAATGGGAAAGTTTTGTTTTCTGAAACAGTATAGATTCTGGTTTTAATTTTTTTTTAAAGAATTTTTTAATGAAACTATCTGGTTGTGGAGATTACATTTCTGAAGTTTTAGAAAACATGAATAATAAAAGACTCACATGCCTTAACATAGGGCTATAAAGTGATCTATTTCACATTTTTTTGGAGTTGTGGTAGTTTATGGTTCTTGAGTATACTATTTTTTTATTTGCTCACTTACACATTTTAGTCCTAAAGACCAATAAATCCTTCACTGTAAAACATAAACTGTATAAATGATACAGTGATCTACTACTCTGATTACTTGTGTTTAGAATTGTTCACAGTATTCTTATTCTCTCATGATCATTTGATATCTATAGAGTTATAGTGATGTTGCCCTGTTTCATTTCTGATTCCGTTAATTTGTATCCTTTTTCCCTGGTTAGTCTTGCTACAGGTTTGTCAATTTTGTTGATCTTTCCTAACAGTTAAGCTTTTTGTTTCACTGAATTTCTCTTTTATTTTTCTCTTTTCTTCCTTTTAAAGCTTCAACCATCTTTCATTACCAGACTCATGCAGGGTTAACTCTTTGGTCCTTCTAATAGCAAAACTACATCTCTAACAAGACTAAGGATAGAGGTGCAGACCTAATAAAGATGGTCTTGTTTTTTTTTTTTTGGAGAGGTTTTTGCCGTAGGGTGTGCGCGCTTGCCAGAAAGACAGAGAGAGACAGAGAGACAGAAAGTGAGAAATCGCCCCTCAGGGGTGATGGCCACACCATAATCCCTTTTCCTCCATTTTCCTCTTAGGATCTTGGACACACACGCACACATGCCTGGTGTGAGTTTAAGGCACCGGGTCTGGAACTCGAACCACAGTCAGTTACACAGGAGTTCAGTGACATAGCCATTACGCTAACTGCTGGTCCTAAGATTGTCTTTTTAAAAAAGAACTTATAAAAAGCATTAAGTGCGCCACCTGGTGATGATTAAGGCACTGGATTAGCACATGGCCAATCCTGATTCGAGTACCAGACCCAACAGCTTGAAAATCATGCCAGATATGTGTGCCTGTGTGCCCCAAATCCTGAGAAGGGATTGCTCACTGGCCATCCCTCTGGGAATAGTTTCTCTCCAGCACTTACACATGCCCTTTGACCAAAAAAAAAACAAAAAACAAAAAACAAAAAACAACAACCTAAAAACAAAACAGAACCCCCCCACCCCCCTTCAAAAAAAAAGCATCTGGCAGTCTCTGCTACCTTAAATACCCCAACTTCATGATAACCTTAGGAGAAAATTCACCTACCCCCTTTAAAAAAAATCCTTTCTCCTCTTCCTTTGAAAAAAAAAATATCCTTTTGCCCCTTCCTTATTCAACTTCTCCTGCTTATTCTAAGAGAAACCCAAAGACTAATAGGATGAACAAGAACCTTAAGAAACTTAAATAAGCTTTTCGCTCTTTGAAACATCGAAAGGTCAATGTACTTGAAATACTAATGGGTAGGACGGAGGGAAACCTCTTTATGCAAGACACCCAACAGGGGCCAGCCAGGGGGCGTGGTGATTACGGTGCTGGACCTGGTGGGTTTGTTTTCTCACTTTATCTCTCTCTCTGGTCAAGCTAAAAAAAAATAAGTTAAATAATTCTTAAAAAAGATAAAAACCACTCAACAACCAATAAACGAAAGTGTATTCTAACTCTTAAAAACAAGCAGTAGCAGTCATTAGACGACAGCTAAAACGAATATATCCCCCTCCTTTAACCATAAAAGTAGGGGATGTAAAAACAGCCAAGTGAGTATTTGACTTTATCTGTTCTCAGAAGTTTGCATATTTTAGGCCAAAGTCATCTTGAGAGAGACTTTCAATTAAAAGGTAGTCTGGGCTGTTTTCAGCTAGATAATCTGCCACTCCTGGACATCCTGGTTGCCGACTACTTTCCAGGAAAATTTTCCCCTTATACAGAGTACTTAATAAGGTGGGGGTCAGCAGGTGATGTGGTGGTCAAGGCGCTGGATTCCCACATGACTGACTGCGATCTGAATCCTGGACCCAGTGGCTTGAAAATCAACAAATAAATAGATAATGTTTAAAAGAAAATAATAGGGAAATTTTCAATTCTACTTCATCAATAACAAACACTTCAACAGCTTCTCAAAAACCACCACAGGCACAGGTCGGGATCACAGCTTCTTCCAGGTGATGAGCTTCTTGCCAGACTTCTGCAGGGGCTCACTGGTTTTAGAAAAACGTCTACATATGTGGGACCAGCAGATGGCATAATGGTTATGTTGCTAGACTCTCACACAGTCAACAGTTGTTCGAGTCCTGGACCTAACAGCTTAAATCTCAAGTTAGGAGTACATATGTGCATGCCTTAAATCCTGCATAGCCATCATCCAGGATGATTTTTTGCTTTCTGTCTTGCTAGAGAGTATATGCATCCTATAGCAAAAATCTCTCTTTAAAAAAAAAAAAAGAAGAAAACTGTCTACATTTGAAGAATCTTCTATATACCACAATGGGGAGGGATGAGTAGTCTATAGCACATAGTACCACATCCTATGGATGGCACTGGCCTTCTGAGCCTGAGTCCCTGAACAATAAAACAAGGCACTGGAGTTCTGGTTTGGCTAAGACACAAATACACTGGTAAACTGCTCCAAGTCTCTCTTCTTTTGAAAATTGGAGTTCTGGTTTGGCTAAGACACAAATACACTGGTAAACTGCTCCAAATCTCTCTTCTTTTGAAAATTGGCTTGATGTGCCCAACGGTGAGGACAACACAGAGTAGAATGATTTATTTGGCCTACCCAGACGAATCTCCATGGCCAGGATTGAAAAAAACATGTCTGTAGACAGCTCTTTGTACATGTTTTCCATACTAAGAAAGATAGGAAAGCTGAGCCCTTGAGCTTGATTGGGTTTGTCACATGGATCTTGTCCCAGAACGACAACCTGTAAATTGCTAATGTTACACATTTGGGCCCATGTGTTTGGAGACATATAAGCAGTGTAATGTTTTCTTCTGCAACAAGTGCCATGAACTTTAAAAAATATGGTTTCCAGAACTCTCCTCTAAGTTGCTTCTTCAAACTCTCACCAACCAAAGCCCACCAGCACACTATAGGCTGTGGACAAACAGGGCTGCACGCTGGGCTTGTCCTGCCAAGTCTGATCCTTTTTATTGGGGCTGGCCAAGTAAGCATCACACTCCTGTATCCATTTGGTCAGGCAGGACCACTGGCTTCCTTTACTCCCAGGCACCTGCCCCAGAAGCCTCTATCATTGCATCCCAGCTCTCCTTAGCTTTGGCCTCCATTCTAATCCCCATATAGGCTGGTTTGGGCCTGCAGACATGCTGCTTTCAGATGAGGCTCC